ATTGTTGGGAGGTTGGTCAACCTTCTCCAGATTGTCCCCAGCAGCCTGGCTCTGGCTTTGTACTCAGAGCTAGCAGAATCTTCCCTTCCACATCCATCAGAGAGCCGTGAGACTCTCATGGCAAAGTGGGCAGCTAGGCTGTGACATCCACCCTGCTTCCTGCCTGCCATCCTTGGCTAAACAGGCTAGGCTCAGTGAGACATGGGATTCATGTGACATCTCTGTCTTTCTGTCCCTCGGCTCCTTCAGGGGCCACTTTAGGTAGAGAGGGCAGCTGTCATCTCTGATTGCTCTCACAGGTTCATAGATAGCGAGATAAAAAGGTGGTGGAGACAGGCAGGGACCCCAGCCAGCCTTTCCAGCACAGCAGGCCCTCCACGCTTCCTCCTATCACAGTGTTTGTCACAGTACTCTCAAATGACCCAATAGCCCTTAAATAGTCCATTGTTCTGCCTCTCCCAAAGGGCAGGCAGGTGGTGGATTCAAGAACCAAAGCCCTGGGTGAGAAACCAACCCCAGAGGCTGCCTTAGGTCCACACCCCTGCAGCTCCTGACTGTGCTTCTAAAAATCTCCGATCTGCTCTTCCCTGAACTGTAGATAAGGACTAAGGATGGATAAGAACCTGTTTGGGTGGGGCAGTGCACATCTGCCTGCAGGAGGAAAGGACACCTGGGCTTCCAGCACGGGGATGATCCAGAACCTTCCCTGCTGTTGGTTGCTGGGCCTGGGCCACTTTGCGGTGTTAGTGGGTGATGTCAGGAAGGGGCCATTAGGGTGGCCTTCCTCTCACTTCACATGCCCACAGATGCCCAGGGAGTCTGGCTGTTTTCTGAAGCTGTTGTCTCTCATCACTGAGGCAAGACACTGACATTCCACATTCCTAATCGGCTCCCAGTGAAGCATACGATAAGCAGCACTGGGGGAGTGGGGAACAGTCAATTCTATCCAGGCACAGAGAAGAAGATGGGGTGCTGGCGGAAGATGCCTGCCCGATGGTTCTGGACGTTTGTAACCTTCTGCCCTGGACTTCCCGACTCCTAAGAAGCTTTCCATCATTGGCGTCTTCTCAGAGTGGTTAACCATTGCCTCCAGGCATCAACCAAGATACACATTTGTGCACCGATTCATAGGTGCAGAAACCCTGCCCTGCTTTCCATGATGAATCTCTCAGGGGAGCCCACGACTCAAACTCCAGAGCAAAGCCCGGGAGATATTTAGGGAACCTACCAGACACATCTGTGTCTACCAATGTGACTCTCACTGTTTCCCAAGGAATAGAGGAGAACGGCCACTGTGAGAAGGTGTCTCTTGGTGGGAGGAAGTACTGCCTAGGAGCCATTTGTACCCTAAAAGTCTTGCAGAAGTGCTGTCATGGCTGTTTAGTTAGCTCAGTTAGGGCAGTGTCCCATGCAATTCTGACAGGAGCTGTCCCGTTTACCTCAGTCTTTTGGACCAATGCTGATTATGTCCCTTTGGACCCTTCCTGGGTGACAGAGCCACAGACAGCTGGCATTTCCAGATCCCTGAAACTGCACAAAGAGAACACGAGGGCTTGAAGCTGAGTAGATCCACACCCATTGGGCTGGGGACTAACTGCACCTCTCCTTGGGAGGAGTAACCTCAACATTTCAGATTATTCTGGACATTCAGTTCCATCTCTCTGGGCTTCAATTCCCTCCTCAGCTAAACGAGAACAAATTGGCTGTGCTGTTGTTTAGTGAAATGTCACACCAGTACCATGGAAGTCATCTGTCCTCACTCTTAGTGGCACCTCATATTCTGAATACCACTCACTGTTATTCCTGGGCCCAAATCCCACCCTCCTACTCCTACTGGACCAATGGAGGAAACCTCATCTTCCCAACCTTCCAACCGTCCCAACTGGCCATCACCTCACAAGCCCTCACCAAATCAATACACTCCAGAAGGTTCGACAAGAACAGGTTCTTTATTATTTCGTTTTTTTTTTCTTTTAAAAAAAAGGTACTCCTTCAGTATAAAAAAATAAATATTTTAAATATGACATTGAATAAATAAAAATAATCTGTCAGTATGAAACATTCCCACAGGGTACATTCATCAAAGAGGAATTTGTCACCCAAGGCCAAGTCCCTTCCAAAGGAAAGGAAAGAGGGAGACGTCTGAGGCCCAATGGGCTGAACCAGCAGTGCAAAGGAGAGGCTGGCTGGGACTGGGGAGTCATTCGAATACAGACAGCCATATCATTTCACTTCTGAAGCCACTATCATGGAAGACTCCGGGGTTCTGGCCCACATGCCATGTCTGCTCCAGAGAGCCAGCAAAGTAAGCTGGATTGCTTAAGTCAGGATCAAGGACACAGAGCAGGGGGGAGATAGACCAGTAAACTATCAGTGCTTTCAGGTTTGAAATTTTAAATAATAAATAAAGGCCCCTATGCTTCTTTCTGGATAAACTGCAAAATGCCCCATCCCTTCTTCTCTGATCCAGACACACTACCCATCATGCTTGGTAGGAGTCAATGCTAACAGGTGAAAGATGTCAAGGCCTACCCCTAAAGTGTGTTTGCTCCAAAGGCTTGATGGTTCTGGGATGCTGTGCAACATGACTCTGAATTGTTGTAGTAAGATGCAGGCAGGTGGGTGCAGGGAGCCAGGGGTGGGGGGCTGTGCACAGAGAGAGTCCATTGGTCCCTGAGCCTTCAAAGCTGCCAGGTGGGTGGAGCCCAGAGAGTCCATGTCCATATGGATGTGAAGTGATGACAAAATCCAGCAGGCCCCAGGCTGTGGCATCATCTTGGCTTTTAGACAAACTGCCTCTCAGCTTGGAGAAGGGCAGCCAGTCCTGAGCTGAGCCTGATACAGCAGCAGCAGCAACAGCAGGAGATCGGTGGAGAAACTTTGTCGCTGGCACGTGTGTCCCCCATGATAGTCTCCTGGCTGCATCTATGGTTCCAGGCCTTTCCTAACCCAGAGCTCCAGGGCCTGTCCACTTGCCGACCAGGTAAAGTGCTTAGAGAATGACAGAGAAAGGTGCAAAAATGCGTGAAACAGAACCCCACAGCTGAACTGCAAAGGACCGCCCTATTCAGAGCCTGAGAGGCAGCTAGCTCTGTAGTCGGCCACTGCCCCAGCTTGGCTGCCTTCCTCCCTACCCTGCTCCCAGATCGAGGGCGTTCCTCTGCTTGCCTGGCTCCAGCACAAAGGAGAGATCAGATCGGATTCCCTGCCTGGGAGCCCAGACATGGGCGGGAGTGGGAAGGCAGCGATGAAGCAAGGACCACAGCTTCCTGGTCTGCGTCCCAGGCGTCTCGGGCCTTGATCTCCCCTTCTCTGGAGCACTGGGCGGCCGTTCAGGCCCAGTTCAGAGCCTGCACTGCTCCAACCTCCTGTATTCACCCTCTGTGGGTGTCCAGGCCACCCGAGGAGCTTCCATGCTGGATGGAAGCTCGCTGGGTGCCGGGTCAGAATGTCTCAGCACTCCTCAGCTGCAATTTGAGGAAGAATCAGCTTTGCCCAAGGTTCCAGGGCCATTCACTTCATTGTGAATGGTGCACCACAAAGCAGGAATCCAGAGGGGTGCCAGAGAGCTCAGTGGGACAAAACAACAAAAAACTGCTCCACGCCCTTGGAGACTAGAGGGAGAGAGGGGTGGGGGAGAGAAAGAGAAAGAGAGAAAGAGACAGAGACAAACTGGCCCAGCTCTTTCTGGGGGACCCTGACACCCTAAAAGTGAGTCACAGTGGGAGACAGGGGAGCTAGCCAGTCTCTGATTTGACCCATGAGCTGTACCTGTAACAATCATCTGCTTCCAGAGCAGGCCTCACTAGGTGGTGAGCCTTGGCCCCAGCCTCATACTATTTCGGGGAATTAACTTTGCCATTTAAAGCACCAATAAGTTAACATAAATAGGACACAGTAATAAATAGACAGCTGTGTGGGATCAGACACAGCACTCTGGGTCTCATCTTTCCTGAGACCCTGACCTCAAGTTCTGCTTCTCCATGCTCCAAGGGCCCAAGACAGCCCTCTGGTCCCTTCAAGTACCTTTGTGACCTCCAGGGCCTCAGACATGGCATTCTACTTTATGCTACCTGTCTGTCTGCTCAAGATCACTTGTTCTCAGGGGTTGAGAAGCAGTCTGCTACTGCCTCAGCAATGGCCGCCTTGCTCCCTCCCTGGTTCCTTCCCTGGGAGGACTCTGGGGATCTGCTGAACCACCTCACTGCCTTTGCAACCTGCCTCTTCCCACCTGCACACACCCCACCTCTAGGCCCAGCCGGCTGACCCCAAACACGCCGGGCTATGGGGGAAACTGCAAAGAAGACAGTTGAGCCCATCAGGCTTTGACAACCTGAAGATGGCCTCTATGCTTCCATGAGAGCCTGAACTCCAGTGACCTTCTTGAATCTTCCATCTGACAGTCCCTCAGCCTGAACTCTCTAATCCAACTCAAGAGAAGACACATTCCATCCCAGGGTACCCTTCCACCCACAAAACTTATAAAAAAAAATAAAAAGAAGAAGAAGGAGGGAGAAGAGGAGGAGAAAGAGGAGGAGGAGGAAGAGAGGAGGAGTCCTTCTGGATCCCAGTCCCCTTGGCCCTTTCTTATCCCAACCAAGCCTTCCAAAGTCTCTCTGAGGGACAGCAAAGGACCAGATGGTGGTGACTCTGCAGGGCTCTAGGGGACTTCCCAGCCCTTTGCTGTCTCCTGTGCGGCTTGTTTACATACCAGTGAGGAAGGGACTGAGTGAGAGAGTGAGTGGGACAGAAGTCTCTCCGTCCGACATCCTCTTTGCCATTTCTAGCTGGTGCTGGGCTGTATGGAGGCTCTGCCTATGGAAGTTTCAGCTTTGCCAGACTCCATCACAGCCCAGCCCAGAGCGCAGTGAGTGTCTGGAAATCCCTGGGGTCTGCCGGCAGCCCCCTTTGCATTTAACAATGCCCCGAACCCCAGCACATTTTGAGCCCCCCTCCCCATAATTGGATCCTGCTCCTGAGATCCACTCAAGACCTCCCGTCTAGAAGGCCTGGACCACCACACTAATGACTTGCTTGTACGTCCCCAGGAGCTGGCAGCCCAACTTTTTCCTTTGGAAGGCTTCTTTGCTGGAGTTGTCAGGGGCGTATGGCACGTCCACATGGCCCACGTGGTACTTGTTGCACAGACGGCAAAGCACATTGCTGAGGAGCCCCCTCATGACGTCTATAGTAGCATTGAGCTTGATCTGGAGGCTCACGGCAGTGGGGTTCAGGATCTTCTGATCCCGGGTGATATTGGACAAGGAGGCACTCAGATATGCGACCATCCGATACAGCTCCACCAACTTGGTCTTCTCTGTCCCATTGGCATGGAAAGAAGGGAAGTCTGTCATGTTGGGTGCACAGAGCTTGTCCACGTTGTTGGGAAATGGCTCCCCTTGAGCTGTGTACTGCAGAAGAGAGAAGAAGTGACATGAGAGTCAGGGCGAGTGTTCCAGTCTGCCACCAACCCTTGGGGCAAGCCCTTGCACCTCTGTCTCCCCACCTGTGATATGGGGACTCAACTTATTGCCCTGTAGGCAACTGGAATCATTAGTCAGCAATGATCAGAAATGTGAACTCACTCACCAAGGTCACTGTGACATAAATGGATAGAGGAAATGTGACATGTCACAGGTGTCACCTCAGCCAGAACACCACATACACTTGCACTTTCAGTCACCCCAGCCTCTTCCTGGGCCCCTCACTGTTTTCAGTGACACCTCCCTGTCCATTCACTGCATAGCCTCCTCTTTGGCACCCTGATCTGTGGGACAAGACAGAAAGTACAGTTCCCACCTCTCACCCCAGCCCTTCCCCCCAACTCGCTGGTGACCTTGGAAGAGTGCCTGCCAGTCTCTGAGCCTAGGCTAGGGTGTGGGGAGGAAGCCATGGGTTGCCACAGTGCTCTTCCAGCTCAAAAGGGCTCCCCTCCAGGCTGGGCCACTCCCCCCCCCACCCCCCAGGACTTACATAGGAAATGAAGAGAGCATTGGCACTGCCATTGAGCTGAGCCAGTTGATTCTTGATCTGGTTCATGAGGTTGCCGTGGCATGGGTGGCGTGTGGCACAGGTAGCATTTAGAGGAGTGATGGGAAGGGGGCTCCCCGCCCCGTGTTTCCAGTGCAGAACCAGCAGTAAGGGCACAATCCCTGGAAAGAGACATGGAGGGTAAATGGAAAGGCAGGAAGCCTGGCTGAGGCTCAGGGTACATTGCACGGCAGGGGGAAGGGGGAAGGGTACGGGGGGGGGGGGGCACCTCAGTAAGGCCCATCCCGATCCCTCACCTTCCAGCTTCCTTTAGTCTCCTGCTCTACTGAGATCCCCTGGCTCTCTGGCTCCAGACCTCTGCTTTCTCTTTCCCTGCTCCCTGGCCTCAGTTTCCCCATCTATCCCACTGGATTTAGTAGAGAAGTAAGGTTATCAAGACAGGAGCCATTTGTACCATCCAAAAGCTAGGCCCAGGGGGCCACTCAACCATCTAGCCCCGTCCCTCCTGGTACCCTAGATGGGTGGTATTAGGTCCAGCAGAGGGGAAGAGAAATTAACCCTGTCTTACCCCTCCCAGGATGGGCCAAATTCTTAACTAGGTGTTCATTGGCCCATTGCAGCCTAGAGCTGGACCCCTTGCAGACTTTGCAGCCTGGGAGTTGGGGTTTCTGTTGACCTGTCTTAAAACTGCCACTACATTCTGGCTTCCTAAGCCAATTGCCTCTAATCCTGTCTTCCTCAATGAGGCTAGTCCCCTATGGAGAACTTTCCACCTGATGTTCTGCAAGTGCCCACTCTCCAACCAAATCATCTTTCACACACACACACACACACACACACACACACACACACCCCGCTTGCTACAGTTTCCCCCCAACTCCACATACTTTGGAATGAGAGGAAATGGTGCAACCAGGAAAGAGATCGGGGAAAAGGTCGCAGGCGGACACGCAAGAGGAAAGCGAAAGGTGTCAGGAGAGCCGGGAGCTGTCCGGGCCTGTCCGGGATCACCCGTCCCCCGGGGCGCCTGCCCCTCCTTCACTTTCAGCTACACTGGCCCCCTCATCCCAGCACAGCCTTCCCTACACTGGGCTGAAGACCCCAGAAGGTGATAGAGGCTGAAGTCAATTCTTAAGGGAGGCTTGGAGACCTCCCACCTGAACTCCCCAAACTGGGACTAAAAAGACTCTAAAACCTTAAATTCACTCCCCTGGAATCCTCTATTGGTCTCAGCATCCCCAAACATTGTTACGGCCCCGGGATGGCTGCGGGGGTACCCATACCTGCATCTCATCTCGCGCCAATCACAGCTTTCCAGGCACTAGCAGACGGAAGCGGCACCTGCGCCGGTCCTGGCCGGAGTTTGCAAGCTGCTCAGCCGCCTGCGCCCCTCCCAGGGAGCAGCCCGGGACGCAGTTGGAAAAGAGAAAGCGGAAAGAAAGAAAAAGAAAGAGGGAGGGTGAATCTAGGCGACAGCGGAGAAGTAAGAGCAGCGCGGGAGAGCAGTGGGACGAGGAGAGGAGGCGGTGGAGCAAGGCTGCGCCGGCCGGTTCCCTCACCGCCAACCTGCTGGCCCGGGCGGGCTGGGCGCGCGGTGCCCGGACCATGTGCGGCGCTCGCTCCCGGCCGCCACCCAGCGCCTCCGGCGGGCCCGGACTGCGCGGGCGCCCCAAGTGTCCGAGTGGCGCGGCGGGCGGGTGTCCCGCGGGTGCTCGCCCAGCGCCCCGGGCTGCCGGCGCGCCCGCAGCGGGGACTCGTAATCGGCGCCCGGCGCATGGATTTACCTGCGGCCAAGACCTTCATTATGGGCTGGACTCCAGAGGGCCTTGGAAGAGACCTTAGATGCAGGCCGTTTTCAGAAGTTCATGCTCAAATGGGGAATTTGCCTGATTTATATACTGGAGCCTGTGTTGTAAGACAGAGAGAAACAGCTATATTTAGCCGGGATCCCCAGTCCAGGAAGTTGTTTGAGGTGCATCATAGGAAATTATGAATGGAAGAAAGTAAGAGTGAAAGGGGAGGGGGGGAGAGGGGGGGGGGAGGGGGGAGAGGGCAAAACTTTTTCCTTCTTCTAAAAATTTGATTGATAAAATTATAATGAAGTGTTCAACCAAAAAAAAAAAAAAAACACGCCTTGTGGTTTTCCTGAGTGGTTTGCTCTGGGCGTTGTTTGCAGGTGGGTCTGGTGGGGAGAGGGTCTCAGGGGGATTCAGAGGGGTCCTCAGCCTGTGCCCTTCAGACGTCCCAGTTTCATCCCGGGTTTGGGAGGGTGGCAACAGACTGGAGGCTGCCTTTGTGATCCTTGGGAGGGGGGCTTTGCGGGGCAGCAAGAGGAGTCGGGCTGGGGTTCCGCTGAGAAGCAGTTTCCAGGAAGGGGGGCTGGGGCCCTTTTGAACTTTAGACAGTCATAAAGTGGAGCAGAATGTGGACGCTGGAAGCCACCTTAGGGGTGGCCTTTCTTCAGCCTGCCCATTGCCAGTGGGCAAGGAGCCTACAAAGGGGCATGCTGCCAATGTTCCGGAGGGTGTTGCCCCCCTTACAGCCACCAGCATGCCCCCTCTACAGACTGGTACCTGGGGTGAGGCCCGGAAAGAACATGAGGCTGTATGTTTTGGGGAACTATCTGGGCAGGCACTTCAGGAAGGTGTCTCAGCCTTACTACGTTGAAGGGACCCATAACGCAGTGATCCAGGGAGGCTGGGCAAAACGGGACTCCCGCTACCTCAGGGTGCCTAGGAATGGCCGGGTAAGCGGGAATGGCTGACACTCTTTGGAAGCCCCTTAGTTTTTGGCCTCAGAGTATGAAGGTGACTCCTAACAGGTGCTTCTGGGGTCTACAGCAGGATCCCTGGGGTGGGTCCTTGCTGGTAGATTAGAGACTCTGTGAGGGGCAGTGGGGAAGAGGACAGGCTGAAATGAGATCAAGGTCTCCCCACTAAATATGAGGCAGTACAGAGAAGCATGCAGTGAGGGAGCACTGACCAAGCACACCTACCTAGGGCCATGCTTTCCCCTGAGCCAGAGGTGTCATTGCCCTGGGGACTGTATTCTAACCTTTCCCTCTGACCTAACCCCAGATCCAAGTGGGACAACCGGTTTGCCAAAGCACTGCCTGTTCGCTCAAGCCCCTTTGCCCACCTTCATGCCCTCGGCTCCTGCCTCATTCAGGATCTACTCAGGTGTTCTTATCCTTCCAGGATGTCCTGTGTCTGCTGTTCTCCCCCCACCTCCACCCCACTACACGTACCCCCTCCCCGGCTCCCCCCCTCCAGATTCTTGTTCCTTGTGGTCTTTTGGTAGAGCCTTGGGTAGTGGTGTGATAAAACCACCCCTCCCAGCTGGCACTTCCCAGCAGGGAGGGGATCTTAGAGGCCAGGTTGGCACCCTTTCTTTCTCCCTACACCCCAAAACACCTTGTCTCTTCATTGGTGACCCCATCTGGGGTCTACCATTCCCATATACATGCAACTACACCCTCCACACATCCCAGCGCCATCCCAGCAGAACTACTCAGAGCACACGAACTCTGAATCAGCTCTCACCCACCATCATGTCTGTCAGACAGCTGCTGTCTGACTGTGCCTGGCTTTCTAAACATTGGCCCCAAATCTATCAGCCCAGAAGGCCATCATGGACCTCTCTGTCCATCTCCTGTCCCCAAGGCTAAACACCTCACTGAGTGGTCCAGTCAGAGACCTCAGTTCTAACTGCTTCACTCCTGTGCCTGGCTCTCCTCTCCATCCCTCCAGAGGCCTCCCATGCCTTGCACTGCTCTCTGGATCACTAGACCCCACATGGGTCCTACAGTCCCCACTCAATAGCCATTTAATCTCAGCTCCACCCTACAGGAAACAGGAAATGGGAACAGGTTCCAGAAGACACTGACAATAGGGCCTTTTAATTTCAGTATCCTAGCTGACTCATTTGTGCCTCAGTTTCCCCTCTCACAGTACCTGACTTAGTCCACGCTCCCCCAGTGCTCTGGGCCCCTCGGTGCCCCAGGCCCTGCCTCTTGCTCCAGTCCATGTCTGAGCGCCACCTGTGATAGGCCTCTGAGGAGATGCCAGGAAAGGTCTCCAAGCAGAGCCGAGCCTCTGTCTTCCAGCTGCCTGCAACGTGGCTGGCTTCAGCTGGAGTTTGTATCTGTCCCTCCCTCTCTATGCTGCTGTATGTGTGTTTCCCCTCTGCTCCCTCACAGAAGGCATCCTCCCTTCTTGGCTGCCTGTTCCCAGGGTTGTGACCCTGGGCCCCACCCTGGAGTGGCAGCCCCAGCCCAGCCCCTTCCAGCTGTGATTTCATCTGCAGCCTGTCCAGCTCCTGCACACTGGGCCTGCTAGGGGGTTGACAGGCTTCAGGGTGAGGGGGACAGCCAGTTTCCACACAGGGAATCCCTCAGCAGGGATAGGAGCTACCATGCCAGGCCCAGGTGCAATACCCAGATGGTAGTATCTTCTCTCCAGGAAGTGAGCTTGTAGACTGGCCTGGAGGCCTAAGCTAGTCTGGGCCTTCCCAAAGCCCCTCAGAGTTCTCTCTTCCGTCTACTTTGACACATATGTCCAGTTAGCCTTGATTTTTTTCCCACTGACTTTCACTCAACAGTCACAACTCTCTCCCAAGATCTTATAGCTGCTTGCTTTTCTCATGTGGCAGTTACAGGGTTAGCAAGTAAAGACACATGCACAAAGAGTTAGCAGCGGAGTCCTGGCCTCTGGCTTGCAAGATACAGTGATCCCTCTATGAGGCAATAAAGCCTTGCAGCAGGAAGAGCCCCCCAGGCCCCTGCAGCCCTGACCCGTTCACTCGGCCTTGGTGCCCATTCTTGTTTCAAGTAGGAACACATTGTTTAGTCTCTGAAGGCTTGGAAGGGGTCTGCTCCAGACAGTGCTGGTCAAGAGGGAGCACTCAGCACAGATGTTATCTATTTTTGTTAAGCACTTTACACCTTGAAAGCAGTCTGGGCAAAGGTAGGAGGAACTCTGGTGGTTTGAAGTATGTGTGGACTTTGACCTCATTTAGAAGCAGGCTGGAGATTTGGCTCAGTGAGGTACAAGCTGTGTGGCTTTTGGGAAGTGGACCCCGCTTACCCTTAGGTTCTTCATCTCTAAGTAAGAATGATAACACACACACACACACAATGGGTTGGGCCTGGGGTCCAGCAGGGTTCCTGGCACCCAGCAAGCCTCCTATGTGTCAGTGTAAAGGCTCCTCTGAGAAACAGAGATCTTTGTCTTAGCTAGAGATTCTCTAAGAAATGGGCACTCCAAAGCGAAGGGCAACAACAGACAGGAAAAGGGGTATTCCTTACCCCACAGCTCCCAGGTTCAGGGCTGCCTCAGAAAAAATTCCTCAGACAGGATATCAAGGACTGGTATGGTATGGTAATCTGCCTCCCCCCCACACACACACACACAAACACATACACCCCACAGCCACCCCCAATCAAGGCTTGAGCTGAAAACAGTTGCTGGCTGGACCTTACTACTACAGGAGCTGATTCACCCCCAGACCCCTTCTGAAAAGCTCAGCTCAGAGGAATTTGAATCACCAGCTGCCCCCTGCAGAGCCCCCGGGGGAAGGACGTGCGGGGGTGGGGGCTAGCCCCTTGCCTACTTGCTCCACTGTCTCTTTCCTGGGCCCTGGGGCTCTCAGACTCAGGAGAGAGGACCACAGAGCAGTGGCTGCTTGCAGGGTTTGGGGGAGGTGTCCTGTCAGCCAGGCATCCTGTGTGGGCAGTGGTTACTCAGCAGGTAAGTAAGCAGCTCTCTGGGCACTGGGAATTCCCCAAGACCAATGACCCAGATGCAGAGCTGCCCCACAGCCAGGCCAGCCCGTTCTCCCTGCACAATCCCCTGGAGGATCTTAGTTCTTCAAAACACAGAGCCACAGCTGGGCTTTGGTGATCTCACCTGGAAGGTGAGCACAAAATTGTGAGGTGAGCTCTGAGAGGAAACTGGGGGCTGGAGGTGCTTCGCAAAGCCCGAACTGGTGACAGGTGTCAAAGGAAATCAGAGAAACCTGAAAATGTCCCTGGCATGGACTTGGCAGTCGATAACATGTCCCAAAGGCAGAGGTGCCTCCATTGTCCACCTTGAGAAGTGAGGGTGTCCTTAGACTCTGATGCACCGTGGAGGTGAATACCCTCTAGTTGATAAGTTACTTTTGGAAAACCAGGTGAACTGTGTTGCCAGATAGATGGTTTGGGTTGTTCAGCCAGAAAGACTGTGAGCTCTGAATCCCACACAAGCCACACAGCAGCTGTGTGGCCCTGGGTGATGGCTCCTCTCTGAACCTCAATTTCCCCTCGGAAAACAAGGATGATTCAGGATAGGCGCTCAGTGAACTCTAGCCAATGGAGTGCAGGGAGCTTGGACCAGGTCTGGGGACTTAGCATGCTCTGTTGGTTAGGGCTGGGCTGCCTCTGGGTCTCTCAGTCCTTGGGAGTGGACATGGTTCCTGATAGTGGTCAGCCTTGGACAGCATCAGCAAGCCCTCCTGTATCAGTCCTGGAGAGGCCAAGTGTTACCATGGAATCTGCCGCTTCTTACCCTCACCCCATCAGATCTCTGGCAGGCACCAGTGACACCCGCTCAGAGGCAAGGAAGAGCCAGAAACAGTCTGGCCAACAGCCAACAGCCCCAGCATCACTCTGACACTTCCTGGCTAGTTCTGCGTCAGGAATCAAGCCCCTAGAGGTGAATCAGAGTGTCTGTACCCACCCCCACCCCCTGCCCCCTTCAGGTCTGATAGAAACAGCAAAGGAAATAGCAGCCCACAGAGCTGACCCTCAGTAGGGTCAGAGGCCA